TAAAATGATAATTGGTAGTGCAAATTGTGTACAGTAAAATCTCGTTACAACAAACTTTTGGGGACTCCAGAAACATTTTGTTATAACAGATAATTTGTTGTAACGAGATTATAAAAAAAAAGACTGGAAATATTTTTTTCAGCTCAGATCTGCATATATTCAGAATCAGGCTTGTCTTTCAGTTTAAGAACTCAAGTTATTGTTTGAGAAAATCAGTGATTTTCTTTTGAAAAAAATTCTCATTCACTGCTGCTGGCAATACATCCTCAACTTTCTTCAGTAGATCATATTTTTCATCACTTGCAATGTCTTTTGATTCAGGCTTCAATGGCGAATAACACAAACAAATTTTAAGTAATTTTTCCAAAATTTTTCCACAAAAAACCAAAAAAATTTTGTCAAAAAAGTTTGTTACAACAGAATTTCCAAGTTTGTTATAACAAGATTTTTTTAACATGCAGTCTATAGGCTTTCTGCTGGGACTTGAAAAAAAGTTTGTTGTATCAAAAAATTTGTTGTAACGGTAATTGTTGTAATGAGATTTTACTTTTTTTTCCTGTTTTGGTCGCTTATTTCCAGAGCCAAGACAGTGGGCATAACAGACTTGAAAGAGTTCATCTCCCTTTGTGAAGAGAATGTTGCGCTGAATGGTGTTGAGGATTCGTGTTTTTGCATTGAACTTGATTGGCAGTGGCCTAATGTTCCTGAGTCTTTGTGCAACGCTGATTTCATACTATTTTCTGATTGCATCTACTACCGAGAAGTGAGTGAGTCAGTGAGGTTTGATTTGAATTTTGCCCCAGATAATTTGACTTAATTTTCTCTCGATTACCCCGCAGATCTTCATTTTGTTTGGATCTGGGACAAATTGAGGCAGGACCAATTTTAGACAGGAACTTTTGGACCTTTGGATTCTGGGTCAATTTGAGACAGGTACATTTGGTGACAGAGATCATTTTCAGACATTTTGAGACAAAGACAATTTGAGACAGAAGCATTTCCTTGATTCATTTCATCTCTTGATTCATTGTAATGTACTGTAATAAACATAAAAAATATCAGAGCATCCCTTTATCATTTTTCTAAATATTGGCAGAAGTAAACTGCACAATATATTCTCTTGTGGTCAAGAAAAAAAGAACACAAATTTCTATACTTTACACCCTGTATAGAAAAATATCAACAAGTATCATAGTGGAATATTTTATCAAAGCATATTTCAAAAACTTTTTAATTTTTTGAAAGAATATAAAATTCCTGAAAATTCACAAAGAATCCTGGGAAAACCAGAAAATTCAGTGTAAAATTAATCAAAAACTTGTGTGTGCAGATTTACTTTGGGGCTGTCTCATATTGTCCCTGTCTCATATTGTCCTTTCCTCATATTATCCCTGTCTCTCAAATGTCCATGTCTCATATTGTCCCTGTCTCATATTGTCCCTGTCTCATATTGTCCCTGTCTCATACTGTCCCTGTTTCATATTGTCTCTGTTTCATACTGCTCCTGTTTCATATTGTCCCTGTCTCATATTGTCCCTGTCTCATATTGTCCTTTCCTCATATTACCCCTGTCTCTCAAATGTCCATGTATCCAATTGTCCAAGTCTCCAAACGTTAAAAGGGGTTCAAAAGAGATGTAATTGTAGTAAAATTATTCCTTTTTCATTTTTATCGATTTTTGGAAAAGTTAAATATTTTCAGTTCAAGATTTGCCGAAATTAGCGTGTTTTTTGGCCCAAAGAATTCATTCTACCCTCTAAAAAATTTTGCCATGCAAAATATTTCATTAAAAAATTTGGCTGTGCTAAATATTTGATGGAAATTTTTTTTTGCGAAATATTTGATGAAAAGGTTTGCTGTGCGAACATTTTTTTACGGGTCTTACGTTATTCGGGGACCCATTGAAATGTTCTTCTCTTTCTCTATTCATCTGTGATATAATGCGCACAAATATTCATGGAAAACTCTCAGGTAAAAATTTTTTCACACGAGTATGACCCACTTTTCTGCTAAGGAAGTTAACGGGGTACTAAAGTATTGTAAATACTGTACTTCAACAGTATAGTAGTTTAGCATCTCATTTTTTTTATTGTAGGCCTTGAAGCCGTTAGTGAACACTGTGTTGAAGCTGTGTGGAGAGAAAACAACCGTAATGATGATAAGTATTGTAAATACTGTACTTCAACAGTATAGTAGTTTAGCATCTCATTTTTTTTATTGTAGGCCTTGAAGCCGTTAGTGAACACTGTGTTGAAGCTGTGTGGAGAGAAAACAACCGTAATGATGAGTTTCGAGGACCGGTCGGAAAGTTTCGCTGAACACGGAAAGCTGGTTCGAGAATTTTTCGATTCCATGAAGGATAATGATTTTGAGTGTGATGCTGTTCCGTGTTGCCAACAACATCCCGAGTTTGTCGCGGAGGAGATTAAATTGTTCGCATTGAAGCGCAAGTCAAAGTGAAACACCAAGCTTTTATTTTTACATTTTTTTTTTTTTTGTAAAAGGCGATGTATACTTGTGTTTAAAGTTGCAGGGACGAGTAGGCGTCGGATGCGTACAGTCCAGTTAATGATAGGCTCAGAAGCACCATGAATATTTCAGCTGCTTGAATCTCCTTGAAGAATCGGGCAATCAACACCATGGTGGACATGATTGCCAGTATTGACATGGGAAGCATGATGCGTACAATCCTGTTAATGATAGGCTCAGAAGCACCATGAATATTTCAGCTGCTTGAATCTCCTTGAAGAATCGGGCAATCAACACCATGGTGGACATGATTGCCAGTATTGACATGGGAAGCAATATAAAGATTTCCTGAGAAATGGGGGAATACATTTAATTTTGATGAGAGTTTAAAATTTATAATTTTGATTCCTGAATTAAAGTGAGACCCCATGCTTGGACCTTGTCTTTATGTTGGATCACATTTTCCCATAGAATTATTTAATTGATGGGTATCCAATTGATTAAAAATTAGGATTACAGTTCCCCCAAAAATTGAATAAAATGCATTTCACAACTTGGAAATATAGACTGCAGGCAACCCCTGCACAACAGACAAGTCAGTTATGCAAAAGTGTGCAAATTCAATTATTGAAAGAATTGAACACTTTTACTTTGGTTTAATGTTGAACCAACTGAAGTCCATTATGTGGATTTAGTTTGTTGCATGGGATGGAAAACCACCTCCAGAGGCAGTCTGTTGTGTAAAAATCCATTGTGTGGGAGGTCTGTTGTGCTGGGGTTGACTGAATTATTGTAAGGGAAATGAACCACACAGAATCTGGTTTTCTTGTATCAAAAGAATCTTTAATAAAAAACAAAGAAAAAGTACAAGTCTTGCAATACTGTGCCCTGCTAATGGAGATTATTCCAAAAATGAAGTAGGTTTTATACTCTAAATTAATGAGGGAATTGATTTTTAACCTCTGTGAATATAAATAGCTCACTTTGTTTTAGAGGTACAGGTGGTACCTTGCAATTCAACCCTAATCCATTGCTGGACTAGGGTCAAATTGCAAAGCAACGTCAAATTCAACGTTTTCTAAATATTGCATTTGACATTTTTGCCCATCTCTGGGGGTCAAATAGCAGGGCATAGATAAAATTTCAAATCAGCCTCCCAGCAAATTTGACCCTCAAATTGTGGGAGGTTGAATTGCAAGGTACCACCTGTATCCTATTTTGGAAAAATAGAAATTTTAAATTTTTCTAGAAACGTTAACTTATGTTTCAAGTGTCTGTCAAGTCATTACCTGGATGTTGTGTCAGATTTTTTCAAGTTTCAAGTGTTGCTAAATTGAATCCTTTATATGTTTGGTTGTCCATATTTTGGGGTCTCACTGTATTCAATTTTAGAAAGTTTAAATGGTTATGTCAGTTTGAGATGTATAAGATATTGTCACTCAAGATAATTGCTTCTCCCTTCATGGAAAGACCTGAGGTCAGGAAGAAATGAATAAGTTCAAAGTACCTGTCATTTCCTCAGTAAATGAGTCAGCAGTTATTTTTGCAATAACAGTTTGTGAATTTGTGGG